CTCTTCTCTCCTTTAATCTGGCCCTTGTTTAACTGTACCATTTATTATTATTCCTGTAAAACATAACGGCTTCGATTCTCGTTTGATTCCGCTCGGTTGCTCGGTTGAATTAGCACAAACAGTTAAGAAGGCTTGTGAGATGACATTTGCTGATACCGTTTATTGGACTGATTCTGCTATGGTACTGCATTATCTGAGGAATGAGAAAAGTCGATTTTCAACGTTCGTGTCCAACAGAATTTCAGAGATCAAGGGTTGAACGGCAGTTGATCAATGGAGTCACATCATCGGAAAGGATAATCCTGCTGATCTCGCGTCCCGAAGAATGAGAACCGGCGACAGATTCAAACAGTTATGGTTTGAAGGCCCAGCCCTTTTACGTGAACCGGGAGGAATAGTACTGAACTATGGCGAGTGTGCATTGGTTTCAGCTGAGGACTTGGAGTTGAAGTCCAAGGTTTTTATCAATGCGTTCTGTCGCCGCGATTGTCTGCCATATTTCAGAAGATTCTCCTGTTGGCTTAAATTGCTACGATGCGTTGCGTGGCTCCTGAGATATAAACGTTATTTACTTGCTTTTGGGAGTGGCCGAACCGATTAACCGGTGCTTTCAGGGCTATTAACTGTCCAAGAATTGAGAGACAGCTGTAAAGAGGTAGTGAGAATGGTTCAAGCGAAACTTTTTGGTCAAGAATTAGAGCGGGTAAATAGCGGCCGGAGTTTGCCTTTTGACAGAAGTAAACGCGGACAAGTTTACAAATTGAAACCAATCCTAATTGATGGTTTGGGCTGCGTGGGCGGTCTTCTACATTGGAGCAGTCTATCCGAAGATAGTAAGCATCCCATTATTTTACCTTCGAGGCACTACGTAACCGAGCTTGTAATTCGTCATTATCATGAGGTAGAAGGGTATGCAGGTAGAAATCAAGTTCTCACTACCATTCGCAGACGTTACTGGATAGTGCACGGTAGGGTTGCTGTGCATCGGGTGATAGGGAAATGCCTGCGGTGTCGACGTGGGTCCGTACGTCCTAGATTCCAGCTGATGGCACTGTTACCAAAAGAACGCGCCTGCATTAAAGGGCACGCGTTCGCTCAGGTTGGCGTTGATTATTTTGGTCCTTTCTTCGTAAAGCGCGGGGGGAATGTTGAAAAGCAGTATGGTTGTTTGTTTACCTGTCTAAATATAAGAGTCGTACACCTAGAAGTTGCTCATGCCCTGACAACTGATTCGTTTATCCAAGCTTTGATACAGTTTATGGCGAGACGGAGACAACCTGAAGTCGTCTTTAGTGATAACGGAAGTAACTTCAGAGGTGCACATGCAGAGTTGGGGCAATGTATTCAAGGTGTCTCATGCTAAGATTCAACACTAGTGAACCGCGAAACACGTTGGCACTCTGGACCGCCTGACGCCAATCACTGGGGAGGTGTTTAGGAAAGAATGATTAGAACAGTTAGACAGATATTTCGGGCGATATCTCACAGCCAAAGAATGACAGATGAAAATTTACTTGCATTTTTTGCCGAGGTAGAAAGAATTGTAAGGAATCATCCGTTTACTCCGATATCTAATGATGTTAGGGA